ATAGTTTTAAAATGTAAGACTTGTGTCCGTGTATAGTTTTAAAATGTAAGACTTGTGTCTCCATGTACAGTTTTAAAATGTAAGACTTGCGTTTGTGTATAATTTTAAAATGTAAGACTTGTGTTCGTGTATAGTTTTAAAATGTAAGACTTGTGTTCGTGTATAGTTTTAAAATATAAGACATTTTTTGAAAATCACATTTTCATGAGTTTGTATGCCTGTCGGTAACCATGGAAATAGTACAAACTGTTGATGTTCACACATTATAATATTTGAACTGACCAGTAGTATGTTTTTATTCTAAAGATATATTAATACTTGTGTTTCATGTATTTACGTGGAGATTTTGTTCCTTTGAAAGTGAGGTAACCGACACAGAAAGGTGAATAGGGTAGTTGTTCTTTTGCTAGTATCAAGCTTGAAGTTTCTTCGACAAAATAAATATCGTAGTTTTTTACACGTGAACTGATAGGTTGGATGACCCTCCTTACTTCTCGGACAAGCTTGAGTTGTGGAACATACTAAGTGATGTTTAAACAAGACATTATTTTCCAGTTTTTATTCAATAAACACTGTGTAAGAAATAAATGTTAACTTCGTTTTTAAATTTCTTGAGCTTCTATCTCATTAGAAGATATATATGTAACAATTATTCTTAAAATATTAAATATTTGTTTTTCATGCAGAAATGTAATTTTGTAAAAGAAATTAAGATATTTGTAGTTTTGTAATCTAGTCACGACATTTTTACTGTTCACAATCCTTTTGAAATCAAGAATGCAGCACAATACGTTGGATTAGATTTGCTACTTTGTGATTTTATTTCTGCTTTCTTCAGCTGGTGCAGGTCACAAGATTGGATGGGCTGCTGGACTAGGGCTCGAAAGACTGGCCATGAAACTGTACGACATTCCTGACATTCGCCTTTTTTGGAGTACTGACAGTGGCTTTCTCGTCCAGTTTCACACAGACAACCCAGATCGACAAATTTCATTCAAAGTAAATGTATTAAATAACGTCCTCTATATAGGTGTGATGTAAAATATGAGTGTGTCTTGATAGTTCTTAATGTCTTGTTTCAGTGATACAAGTTAATACCTAACATAGTTTCGTGGTGCTTTGGTGATAGAATCGTTCATAAGAAGTGAACATAAGCATTTAATTTTAGAATCATGAGTCATGATTTGAATAAATGACTGAAGGACTTGGTAACGGGCCTTGATCTGAATGTAAGACAAACAAATACCATTAGATCCTTGAAGAAACGTGAAAATTTACCCCTCTCCCCCCACAATTTTTAATGTACTCATTAAGTCCCCCCTTTTAAGTTCCTTTAAATTCTGGCATCCAATACTGCCAATGACAACCTCATCCATAAGTCAATCACCCAGTTTTAGGAAAATAAAACTTTTAAATGTAGCCAAGCCTGCCTTTTTCCTATCTTATATCTGTTGCTGTCTCATCCTAGTACCTTCAAAATACGAGATATAAGGTAAAGAAATCGGACACCCTTATTCTATCAGTTCTCCAAATAATCATGTTCATCTTCTTATTTTGTCAAAAAAAAACATAAAAGATGTTCTAACTATCCCTGTGAAATAATCTTTTTATCCCAAGAATCATTCTCGTAACTCTTCTCTGAACCCTTTCTAATAAATCAACATTATTTCTTAAAAACTGTACGCAATATCCCAAGTTAGGCCTAACTAGTGATTTGTATAGAAAACTAATTAGCTCTTTTAATTATAATGGTTTTATATAATAATTAATAATTAAATAAATACATAATCAGACTCTCACTTAAAGTTCTAGCGAAAGTCATGTTCTTGTTGTGAGGAGAGTTAGGCCTAACTAGTGATTTGTATAGAAAACTAATTAGCTCTTTTAATTATAATGGTTTTATATAATAATTAATAATTAAATAAATACATAATCAGACTCTCACTTAAAGTTCTAGCGAAAGTCATGTTCTTGTTGTGAGGAGAGTACTTTTATTTGAAATTGTGTTCTGTTATAAAGAAATGGTTGTTTCACATGCCCTAGTTAGTTTTCTAATTGTTTGAATGTTGAACACCTAAAGTGTAAAATTGTTTTATAGTTTTATGTTTATTGTGCCATTCAATAGATGGCGCCACATTTCCTAAGCCTAAATCACCACTTCTGGTTTTGAGATATTATTGTATTTCAGCACAATAGATGGCACCATTTTATTTGTTATTTCGGTCACATTCATAGATAAATATATATAGACGGCCACATTATTGTTCCATTATAGTAAGATTGATTTTAAATCAGTATGTCCCTAAGTACTACCTCAAATTATAATAGGTTTATTACTCATAACAGAGCACTGCTTTAATGGCTTGAGTGACTTACGTAATTTGTCATCTTACCAATTCATCCTCGTCGTTCTGTAAAACCTCAACATTCTTATTATAGCTAGAAATATTCAAAAGTTTAATGTCATCAGCATATTTTTGTAATTTACTAATTATGCCCCTATCAGTGTCATTAATGTAAGCAAGAAAAATCAAAGGCCCAAGTTCTAACCTCTTAGACACTCCACCAATAACAAGGGTCTAGTTGAAATAGAGTCCACTAATAAACTCTTGCTTGCCCTCAACCAGTCCTTCTACCGTCCAATTAACTTGTTTTTCTCAACTCCTACTGACGTCACTTTCTTAGCTAATGATCCTATATTTACATAGGAGTTTTGAAAATATGCAGCTTTGATTTTACTAACTTATTCTTATGAATTATCTAAAGTACTATAAAACAAATGTAAGTAGTCCAACCTGTCATTCACTTTTCCTCTTGTCGCCAAGTTTTGCTGGTTTCTGGGAATTCCGTTTCTCATCAGGAACCCAGTTTGTGTTTCATATCTGTTTTATAGTATTTTAAACGGCTTTGGGTTGAATAATACAAAAGAATAAATTAGTGGCATCAATGCAACAAATTTTTTAAATTTCTGTATAAATATTTGACATCTCGGACAATATGAAACCTAATCTTGTGATTTATCCGTATCCAAGGTTACTGATGAGGAGTTGAACTCCCCACATAACAGGAGTTTTGTCTTCAGGAAATAGTTAACCGTCACAATTACTAGTATGTGAAGTTAAACAGATATCAAACAGTTTATGAGTAGCTTTTAACGTAAAACAGTTTTAAGTTTTGTCTTAAAAACAAGGTTATATTTAGATTTTTAAAATCGTTTCAGAAAATGGGTGAATTATGTTATGTCTATCCAACATTTATTGAACTGTAAACCGTGAAGTTATAGTTTTGTGAATATATGCAGAAATTGAAAAGAGTATATTACTTAATAGGAATTCGACACCTCAATCAGTATTAAGTAATTCAGATTTTCATGATAATTTTTACCACTTGGTGCATCAGTGACAAATCTGAGGGCTTATAGTGCCAATAATGTGGTTCTGACACCCATAGTGGGCAGAGCACAGATACCTCATTGTGTAACTGTGCTTCACAGCAAACAAACAAATTATAATAATTTACTACTTGTATTATTATTAATTATCCAAACACTCTAATAATAATAATTTTTCTTCGTTTAGCCTTTCAGCCACTATCCTCAGTGTATCAACGATATCTCTTTCTGGATTCCCGAGGAGTATTCTTCGAATGATTTTTATGACTTGGTGCGTTCTGTTGGAGGTGACATCATAGAGCAAGTGACTTTGGTGGACGTGTTTACTCACCCTAGAACTAAAAGGACAAGTCACTGCTACAGGATAGTGTACAGACACATGGAGAAAACACTAACACAGCAGGAAGTGAACGAAATACATACACGTATAGAAGAAGCTTCAAGAAAGAAACTTCACGTTGAAATCCGATAATAAGATATTCATTTTAAACAAGTTGTAGTTGTTATATATATAATAGTGTGTTTGGCAGATAACTGAAATGTTACTAGCATAAGGACTATAGACGTGGTAGTTGGCTCAGAAATACGTTTCTTTTTTCGTGAGCAAAAACAGTAAAGATTTTTATGTTGATAATTTTGAAAACAGAGAGTGAAGGTGTAAAGCAGATTGACTTTTTGAAACAAGAAGAAACCTGATAACTGAAACATTAAATCATTCTGTAAGCAAAATGTATGAACTCTCTCTCTTGTGTCTGTACTAATGATGGATGTTAGAAAGTTTGTACCTGTTAAACTACAGTTCTAAAATAATTATTTCTTACAGCATCGGGATTTCTAGTCGTATAAGTTGTTCTTGTTAACGTTTGATTGATCTGTTAAAATACTGGTAAAGGAACCTAACATTGTTTATACACACATCCTACGGACTGATGTACTTACTAAACGAATCTAGCATTATTTATACACACATCCTACAGACTGATGTACTTACTAAAGGAACCTAACATTGTTTATACACACATCCTACAGACTGATGTACTTACTAAAGGAACCTAACATTGTTTATACACACATCCTACAGACTGATGTACTTACTAAAGGAATCTAACATTGTTTATACACACATCCTACAGACTGGTGTACTTACTAAAGAAATCCAGCATAGTTTATACACACATCCTACAGACTGATGTACTTACTAAAGGAACCTAACATTGTTTATACACACATCCCACAAGTTGGTGCATTTGCTGAAGATATTTTAGTATTTATTCTTGGGTTTCTCTCTCATGTCAGGAGTTACACAAATTACCCACAACCTTGAAGTTCTTAGAAATTCGTAACTGTATCGATAATACACATCTACTGTGGTTTATTTCTTCGAACGACTCCAAACCCAATCGTATTGTGCTTTAGAAACATTCAATTTTTATATTTTCGTAGTTACATAAATAAGAAACAGTCGACTTGAAGAACTATTTGTGAAAATTGAAGGAGGGGGGGGGGGTAACCAGGTGAAAACAGGTAAGTAGATATCAGTTTTGTGATGTAAACTTTAATATGACTTGTTATTTATTCATTTTAACTTTTATTTTTTTCGCGGTTTTTTATTCCATTTTTTTCGTTTCCTTCCCTCAACCACCTTTTTAAAGTAGTTAGGTAAATTAATACGTAGGTACACGAGATGTGTGTCCTTTTTAAAGTAGTTAGGTAAATTAATAAGTAGGTACACGAGATGTGTGTGTATATATATTAGGTAACGGTAATATTTCTGTAGTTATATCTATAATATGGTATTTAATATTAGTTATATCGGCATTAACCGAAATTTCCTGAAAAGGCTGGTATTTGAATTTTTGTAACACAAAGTTATATAAACAATTTTTATGCGTGCTGGGCGTCCAAGTAGCTCATTGGTAAGTCTGTGTGCTTATAGTTATAATGCTAAAAATTTAATTTGAATAACTGCTGTGCACTTATCACAGATAGCTTGTTGTGTAACTTTGCCCTTAACAAGAGATAGGGTTTATTTCGGGCTCAGCGGTGAAACCGAGAGTTCTTATAACGCTAAAAATCTGGCGTCGATCACGTAGCGGGTAGGCTTAACAACAATCAAACAAACAAATATATTTCGGTGACGTAATAAGCTGCAAATACGACCCTAAGGAGCTGGAAGTATTAAACTTTAAACGTGTAGAAATAATCAGTAAGTTCTGTGATAAAGTATATCACTATGTAACAAACAAACAGAACTATGATATATATTTATAGTTATCTAATGTAAATAAAACAAATCGGGCCTAACACACCTACGCTTTCTTGTTAAGGGGACATGCCAGGTTTGTTTACAATTGGTTCAGCAGTTTGCCAGTTATATGCAGAAAACACACAAGCTTTTGTAAAATTATCGTTAAGATAACGTGAAAGTTACTTTCAGTATAAGTTTTTAATTCTTTTTTTTTTTTTCGTATTAATTTTTGACTGCTACTTCTTAAAGCCTGATATATAGTGCGTGAATGTATTTACCGAAAAGTTTAGACAACAGTAATGATCCTCCTGTAGGACAACG